AGTAATTTACAGGCTACACAGCAAGACAATCACAAGGCAGCGGTGAGTATGGCGGTGTGCTGGAGGCGGCGTGGCTGCAGTGCGCACTTTGGCTCGTGGCCCTCTGCGGCGTCGCCGTGCCTCCTCCTCCTCGTCCTTCTGCTGCTGCTGCTTCCGTTGCCCCCGCACAGCGCAGCCGCCCAAGACGCGGATCCTGACACCCCAGTGAAGATTTTGATGTTGAAGCCAAGTTTTTCCACCAAAGCCGACCCTATCTCCACTGCGTTTTACGCCGGCGTGCATGCGTCGCTGATGGCGCACAACTCCACGGCTGAGGACGACGTTCGCGTTGAGGTTGTCGAAAGGGAAGCGAAGCTGGAAAACTACGCCACCGTTCTGGAGGACGTGCTGCAGAAAGAAAAGGACATTCTCGTTCTTCTGGCCCAGTTTGATGATGCTTACGTGATGAGTGCGCTTCCAGTTTTGTCTCGCCATGACCTCGTCTCTATTGCCCCGTTCACCAGGTCGAGTGCGGTGCGTGGGTGGAGCCCCAACATGTACTTCGTGCGCCCCGGCCCTAAGTCCGAGCTGCTGGCGATTCTCCGCTACGCCGTGGCTCAGCTGCGGGTGCTTCGGCTGGGCTTCATGTACCTGCAGGATGGCATCTTTGGTGAAGCGGAGTATGGGCGGGGAAAAACTGTGATGTCGGCGATGGGCTACGAGTTCTGCGGTGTCTTCGCCGTGAAAACCGCTTCGAGTGGTGAGGCCGACCCTAACGAGTTCAAAGATGCGTGGGAGCGGTTTGCTGCGACTCGGCCGCAGGCTGTGATTGTGTTTGGCTCGTTCTCGAAGTGCACCGATAAATTCATTGAGACGATGCTGAAGGACGAGCGCACCGCCGGCGCGTACCTGCTGGCTCCCTCGGCGGTGCAGCCAACTGTTCTGCGCGTATGGCGTGCTGCCGTGGCCGGTGGTGTCAAGTTCGTGCCCGGGCAGGTGATCACGACGGGGACGAGCCCGCTGGCGAATGACGCATGGTACAATGTCATCAGGCGCTTCCGGGGGGCGATGTGGCATTACCTGGAGAGCAGTGGGCAGAGGGACTACAATGACACGGATCATTTCCTCAACAATGACGGTGACGGGGAGCTGATGGTTGATGGGTGGACTGCCGGCGAGGTGCTGGCGCAGGCGCTGAGAGAATGTAGAGGGGTGAGGGACCGCAAGTCGTTCATGGCGTCTCTCTTCGACCAACGCCGCTATTTAATCGACGAGATTGTGATTGGCGACTACGGTGGTGAGTGCGAAGATGGGGCTGCGCTACGGGGGGCCTTCTGCCACTGCAACCAGGGCGGCACCGCGGCGTACATGAAGCGGTTCGTGGAGGGCTTCCGAGCGGAGGCGGTTTATAGGGGCCTCACGACTTTCCTCCCCTCAGATTGTAACGCTACATCGACTTACGTGCCGCCGGTGCTTGTTGGGGTGGAGTTTCTATTAAATGATAGCGCTGTTGCACGGC